CTTATTTATATCAAAAATAAACTTCCCTTAAATACTCCCGCATATTTCTGAACTCTGTGATCATCAGCAGGTTCATCGATTTACTGCCAATAACCAGAACTTACAATATCCTCCTTTGGTAGATAAATCGAAAACCATTTCATTGAACCTGCATGATGAATTACAGATCTTGTACTAGATTTATCAACCACACAAATGCTTATCACATCACATAAATGTTGTTCATAAGAACAACTCGAATACCTGAATAACGGAAACAAATCACAGGATACTAATAACACAAGGAGTTCATCACGTGCATGAAGAAGAAAACAAACAGAAAGAAAAGAGTTCAACAAACATAATAAAAAGTTTTTAAGTTTTTAACACAAATGAATATCCAGCTGAGGGATGGCTATGCAGATTCTTCCTCGTCAGATTCCTCCCTGAACCTTCTTCAGTACCATCCTCAGTCTCTTCTTCTAAACCTGCTTCCTCTTCCTCATCCTCTACATCAGACCCAACTTCTTCATCCTCTTCTCCATAAGAACCTTCATCTTCTTCCACAACCTTCTCCTTTCCCTTTTCCTTGGCAGCAACAACTTTTTCTTTCCCTTTTTCAGTAGCAGCATCAACAATCACCTTTTTCTTCTTTCCTTCAGCAGCCGATGTTTTCTTCTCCCCTTAGTAAGAGCTTTCTTCTTTGCAACAAAAACAACAACATATTTTTTCTTCTTCCCCTTTTTCGATTTAGAAACCAAAGGGGCACGCGACCTCAAGGCACCCAGAACCTCTTTGTAGTACCTTTGCTGATCAGCCAATTTCTTTTCAAGTCCCGAGAGAACTGCCAGTTGCTGATTTAAAAAATTGCGAAGCTGTGAAGGTACATCAGAGGCCTTAACAAAGGATAGACAATGAGAAACAGTCTTAACACCAGCAAGGGCAAGAGATTTGTTGACAAGGGCATAATTATCACCAAGTCGAGGATCCATTTTCACACTAGCCTTGAAGAGAATTGCACATATGGTAGATGGATATAGCAAAAACTTATGAGGCTTAGAGATTTCCGCAAAGCCCACAACAACAACAAAGATCACAGAACCAGCATCAAACGGGATACCATTCAGAACACGGTAGATAACACGAGCTTGCGTAGGGGTGACAAACTGCTTGTGAGTGGTAGGCATCCAGTTCGACGCTCCTATCTTCTGTAGAGCATTGGCAGGCGGAGTTAGACTCTTCACAAAGATTCCCGGAGAAAGCCATTTAGTTAGTTGTCCACCGGTCAAGGTGCGAGCAACTTCATCAAGGTCATCAGTCAGAGGTTCAAGAGAGGAACCTTCAGCTAAACCAAGTATAGAATTCACCACAGACAGAGAGAAATCAATCACACTATTACGCACAAACACATTCTAAAACTTCATTGAGGGAGGATCAGATACAGAGGTAGTCGGGTTCTAATTCACCAACAAGCAGGGGACAGTACTTTCCAACAGACGTGACTGAACCCTCAAGGCCCACTTTCTTTAGGAGTTCAAGCAACCCAAGTTGTTCATAATGTTCGCTAGCAATCGTCCTCTCAGGACGGAACTTCATTTGAGAAAAGATGGTAGAAAAATGAGTTTCAGACAAAGGTGAATAGAACTGACGAGAGAAAGCATTACCAACAGTAAGAGGATTGTCTGGACCATCACCCTCGACCTCACCCACGACTTTATCTTTCTCAGGAAGAGAGAGTTCCTCGTCCGCAACATGTTTCTTGTTGGATTTTTCTGGTTCAGCAACGTAGTTGGCAACCTCCTTTTCAACAGAATCAGCATCAGAATCTGGAGAGATGAGATAATGAAGAAGAGGGGCAAGGCCCCCGTTAAAGATTTTGGAGATGAGTTTGTTAGTCACATTACAGAGGCTGATAGGCCTGTAATCCAACAGAGAGCTCGGACAAGGTCTTTTGGAGATCAAGACGACTGAGATAGAAGTGAAGGACTCCGGCATCTGGTGACCAGAGAACAAATCCACCACAACCTCCTAACAAGCCTGGTAGAAAAGACAAAACAAGCAATCTGGGCTAGAAACAAGCGCCTAGCAAGCCTGATAGAAAAGACACAACAAGCCATCCGGTCTAGAACTGCTGTTGGGATCTATCCCAAAAATAGCCTTCCTAACCTCCTCATTGCTCAGGAGCTCGCAAAGGCTATCAAGGTCGACCTAGGGGTGAGCATGGGTCGGTATGGTTCGGAGATTGACAACTCCAAAACCGTACTGAAGTTCAGAGATTACTAAAATTCAACTCCAGAACCGTACCAAAAAATTAGTTCACTCCAATTTTGTTCGGTTCAGATTTACATTTTTTGGTTCGGTTCGGAGAAAGTCAAATGGTCAATAGTTATTTTCCAGTTGGAAGTGATTTTGGTTCGATTTTCGGAACAGTTCAGAATTTTTCGAGTCTCATGCTCAGTCCTAATACGACATGACACGCTTCAGCCTCACAAACCCCTAGAAGTACTTGGTCTTTTGCTCCACCTCAGCAACCCAGCGCACGACAACCTTCTACTTCCAAAATCCTCCTCCATAAGAAGTCGGAGCCAGTACTCAGTGTGATAGAGGCACATCGCAGTCCTATTCTCCATAG